TGAAATTTAAAAAAGAAACTTTTCTCATTATTTGTTTGTATCTGACTAAATGTCCATGGAACGGCCATTTTGGAACAAGTGAATAATCGAGTGGTGCGTACGCGTATACGTATACATCAATTTTAGTGCGCTTTGTGAGAAAGTATTAGTGAAAATCCGTGGAAAATAATAGCAAACTGCTATCAAACTCATTTTAGAAGGAAGAATCCATACATGTTGAGGTTAGTTATAGGAAAACATTGAGCAACTTCGCACGGTGATTGTGTCTGTTAGTGAGCGTGCTTTAAACGTCACTAATATCTAAAAGAAGCTTCCCCTGATATTCAGATGACGAAATAATGACATGGGGCAAAGTTTCCTTCTGTAAATTCATTAATTATGATACCCTATAGGGGCTTCTTCTCAAACACTTCTATGGCCACTAGAGGCCCAACGAGAACCTTCTCCGGAATGGCCGTTCTGAGGACAATTCATCGAAGGATCACAAAATTATGATAAATAGTCTTCTGATGTAAATTCATGAATTTTGATACCCATATTGGAGGGATCTCTTCCCAAACACTTCTATGGCCACAAGAGGCTCTACAAGAACCTACTCCGGAATGGCCGTCCCGGGTACAATCCATCAGATCACCACAAAATTATGAAAAACAGTCTCCTGCTGTAAATTCATGAATTCTGATACCCATATTAAAGGGGTTTCTTCTATGGCCACTAGAGGCCCTACAGGAACCTACTCCGGATTGGCCGTCCCGGGGACAATCCATCGGATGACCACAAAATTATGATAAACAGTCTCCTGCTGTAAATTCATAAATTTTGATACCCATATTGCAGGGGTTTCTTCCTAAACACTTCTATGGGCGCTGGAGGCCCTACAGGAACCTGCTCCGGAATGGCCGTTCTGGGGACAATCCATCGGATGATCACAAAATTATGATAAACAGTCTCCTGCTGTTATCATTAATTTTGATAACCATATTGCAGCAGTTTCTTCCCAAACACTTCTATGGCCACTAGAGACCCTACGAGAACCTACTCCAGAATGGCCGTCTCGTCCATCGGATGATCACAAAATTATGATAAATAGTCTTCTGATGTGAATTCATGAATTTTGGTACCGATATTGCAGGGGTCGCTTCCAAAACTCTTCTATGGCCTCTAGAGGCCCTACGGGAATCTGCTCCGAAATGGCCGTCCCGGGGACAATCCATCGGATGATCACAAAATTATGATAAACAGTCTCCTGCTGTAAATTCATGAATTTTGATACCCATATTGCAGGGGTTTCTTCCTAAACACTTCTATGGGCACTGGAGGCCCTACAGGAACCTGCTCCGGAATAACCGTTTTGGGGAAAATCCATAGGATGATCACAAAATTATGATAAAGAGTCTTCTGCTGTAAATTCATGAATTTTGATAACCATATTGAGGGGTTTCTTCCCAAACACTTCTATGGCCATTAGAGGCCCTACGGGAACCTGCGCCGGAATGGCCGTGGCGGGGAGAAACCTTAAACTGGTCCTCAAGTAATCTGAAATTGTTTTTGAAGGAAATTCTGATACTTGGATATCGATTCCTTCAAAATACTGGCGAAAGTGCCAAGAAAATGCTTAGTTCTGGAACACTATACAGAAAATCCGGATTTCCGGAAACCAGACTATTCCGGATGGACATTGTGGGCAATGTCTAGAAATAAGATAAGTTTCTGAATCCATTGGTACCAAAAAATGCAGAATCGGTTAAAATTGGCCACAGTAGCTAGCAGTTCAATTTTGTGGGTACCCGGGTACCCTTGTCGAGCTTTTTAAGGGTAAAAAATTTTACGACCCCCCCTTTCGAAGCCCCTTGCTGCAATTTGAAATATTTCGTCACGAAAAGTTGTCACTCCATGAGTTCTAAGATGCCACTGAATTCTGGTTTCCTGTCGTGAAAATAACTTCATAATGTATTAACTTGAAATCTGAAAAGGTAGGGTAAAGAACTACTTCGGCCTAATCGCCCATTTTGAGCCTATCGAGCAGAAAACTTCAAATAAATCCATGATTTCAGAGTTAACAAGGCAATAATGCGTTTGGCACGATACTTTAGTTAATAAGCTACCGAACGGAATCAATGAGAACGCGTGATATGAAGGTTTGAACCCATAATTCCCAAAAACAAAAGAAGCGCTCCGACCGAATGAATTTCTATCTTCATCCGATAGGCCAAAGTGAATTCATTGGCATTTCAATGCGTTAGGCCGAGTTTAGAATCCGTAGGCCGAGTTTAGCGTCAAGAAGCAATATAAGACTTTTGACAATATCTCAATGATTGGTTCCTCTTTATGAAATCTTACGGTACGTACGGAAAGGTACATAAATTTGGAAGCCATCAGTAATAATAATATTCCGTTTGGTGCTAAGCTGCGCTAGATTAAGAAACACTAAGTGCGGTTTGTGCTTAATAGGCCGGAAATGGGGTATTTAACCCTACCCAGATACCCTGTCGATCACATAAGGGTTAAAACGGTGCGACTTAGAAAAAATTACTCGGTTGCTTTTTTATTGTAAATTTGGTGTACTTTCGTTATATAAAGTTAAAAAGGTAATTGGACCAAGTTTTGGATATTTTTCCAAAAACTTGAGTTTTTTTTAAATCATAACTTTTTGCCCATCATTTCTATAGTGCAATAGATGGCATTTTTTGTCTCCTAAAACATATCAACAAATAAAAAAAAATACAAAAACCTTTTTTTGAGAAAAATTGTTTTTAAGATTTTATTTGAAATATAAAAAAAAAGTTGAGTAAAGTTTTTAGAGTGCATATTTTTTCAAATAGTCTCATCTATTATCTACAATATTGCCCATGACACCAAACTGATCGGACAAGCAGTTTTCGAGTAAAATTTTTAGATAAGCTTATCTTCTAAATGATGTAAAAAATGGTATTGAAAACAATCTGGGTGAAAAATAAAGTGATGTTGTTCCCACTTCGGTGCCAAGATTGAAAACTAATGGGCATGAGCGATCAGTATTCCTCCGATGTTTTCATTGACTACTTAAAGATTTAAAATGAAGACATTGCTATAAATGATGTAAAAGTAGTGAACATGTTTGAAAATCCACGCTTCACTTATAACAAGTTTAGTGTTGTAATTGAAGTCGATGTCGATACGTATAAATGTTTGCTATGTGCGAACAAAGTAAATGTAGGGTTTGATCGGTGATCGGTTCCCGCGATTAATATGTTGAGATACTTCAAATGTGGAGAATTTGGGCACAAAAGCATGGATTGCACAAAAACTGTGAGAGATGCTCTAGGTGCAACGAACAACACAAAACGTCGGAGTAGACGTACGTCAACTATATTAAAATGTATTAATCAGTGCCTGTTTTTATCATGTACCATCACACGCAAGGAGTAGCGCTTCAACCCAGTGTAGATGAATTGCGTTTGTTTTGAAAATCTTCGCTGTTACGTACTAGCGAAATGAACAAATTGAGTTCATTATACATAAACAAATACGCGTCTGTTGATATTCTCCAGTGCTTGATTATCCAACCCAAAATTGTCAAAATCAGAAATGATCCTCAAAAGCAAAATAATCAAATTCTTTTTGGGCAAAATGATTATTTAGAATATTGTCGATTCGAGAGCCTAAAACCGGGATTTTATCATTAATACAGCATGAGGTTTGTGAGCAAAAACTTACACGATACGTCCTTCAGCGCTATATTAGTGTAAAATGAAAATAATCGTTTTGCATTTGATCCTAAAAATCATCCCCAACAAGATGAAGACGACCCTAATAAACGATTACCATACACTAACGATATCATAGATGGTACGACCATACCACATAAAGTTTGGATGATAGCTCGAATTGGTGGTTAGGCGCTTCTTATGGTTATTGTTTATGCGGGGAATATCAATATTCACAACAACGGAGGCGATAATGAACATCCAGCCACGAATGAAGAAAAACAAATGTTGACTACGATACTCAGAGGTTGCCTCGATCAAAAGAGAATGTTGTTATGTCAAAATTCAGATCAGAGATGCCAGATGTATTTTTTATTTTTTTTTTTTTTTTCAGAAGTCTGCGAAAAATGTCTGTGAATTTCAGAAATATCTTATTAGGCTGTATGAAATTAGCACAATTTTTGCTTGTGATGGGGACGGGGATGTGGTCATGAAATCGATGATGACATTATTTTTCTCTACAGCTTTGTCTGCGACGTCATTCCGATAAGAAATGTCGTTTTCGTGGTACAATTATTGGAAAAAATCAAGGACGCCATTTAGGAAACTTTGCAAAATCTAAAAGGCCCGAATTTTAGCAAGAATGTGAATCATTACCCATACAAACAATTACACAAAGTTTCATACAAATTGGAGAAGGTCGAGTCTGATCGATTCATCGTTTGACGTGGAACTTCTCACATGTAGATTGATATTTCTGTGCCCGGTTAGTTTTGATTAAAAAACAAGCAACCATGAGTAATCAACATGACAGGCCTGTTGTCAATATTTAAAATTGTGCTGATAAAAGCGATAAACCAATCAACAATCACCTTATTTATTTACCAAATTTAGAGGAAACGGAAATCCAACCCAAACAATTTGTTTTCGTCCACTGGTCACCAAATGCTTACACTGAAAATGAATTTGACCCAGAGAATGAGTCACACTCTCTTACAGAATACACGAAATTACACCTTTTGTTACCAGGTCAATCTTTGTAATTTTCGAAAAAATAAATGAGATTTTGACGAAGGTTTTTTTCGAAGATCAAGCCTATCTAAGACTATGTGGAAAACAATTTTGAAATATCGCGCAAAAGTCTGTCATTGACAATGAAAAAGCTCAGGACTGCTCGCCAGTGCGAGATTGTGCATTTGCAATGTATTATTATCGTTATCAGAATTCGACGCTGCGGAGCATATTAGGTCATCACAATCCATTTATAAGAGCGATGTGACGGTGAAGTCAAGTTAGTCCTTATCTAGAGTGCTCCGCTGTAAGGTTAAGAACTCAGTGCCTTGTGGTATTTTTGTGGTGCTTAATTCGATGAATAAAATTGTACTCAGCATAATTCAAATTAGTGAAACTAACGAAGTGTAAATTGTGCCGCAACTAAGAGTGAGTATCATAATATGAATAGTCGTTTAAAGCTGACTGACGGCCGATCAAATAAAAGAGATGACAAAAGATTTTAATTCGATTTGCTCATGAATTTTATTACCTTAAACAAATGGTGTAGTGTAAAGGCGAATGTTATAGATTATTTTGCAGTGCTGTTTTAAATATTCGATTAATTAAGTGTGAAATTATGCTTGTTCAGCGGTAGAATTGATCGTATGCGTGCCCCGTAGTGATCATTTATTTGATAAGTAGGAGTGTGATAGTAAGTCTGTTCTTGTAAATCAGTCTTCATGAAGATCGGCTTCGACGGCGGTGGACTTCCGGGGGACTGCCTAGACTGTCATTTTAAACAGTCTCCAGAGAGAGAGAGAGAGAAAGACTGTCCACCAAATGGACAGTTAGATAGGGAACCTAAACGGTATCAAACGGGGACTACCCACACTGAAAATGTATTTTCGTTATTTCTCTGAAAACCGTTTCGTAAAAATTAATATTTATGTACGATATAACATAAATGGTACGAAACATTCGTTTTTCCTGTCATCTGACGCAATGCTGATATTACGCCTTATTCATATAATACACAAATTCAACTTCGTACACACAAACCAAAAACTGTCCTTCTTGTCTCCTAAAGTGCTGATTGTGTGTTGGAGATGGTATACTTTTTTCTTGAAACATTTTCGGTTTGCAATACATGCAAGCTACCACAATAAATCAAATTACTGGTCACGGTGGTTTTATGTCATAGAAAAAAAAAAAATACATACAAGCATCAAAAACCGCAAACGAAATCTAATTACCGTTACATGAGTGCTTCTTATTTACATTTAGCCTTAGCCTTACCAGCACAGATAGAGCGACGGATAAAGCACAGATCTGACTATCGCAAGGTTCATGATACGAGTCCAGTCTGAACCCTTTTTATTTTTTCGTCATGTTTATTTCTTCCAATGATGAAGTTATTTTAACCCATCTTCACTAACACATTCCACATTTTTCGGTCCCCACAACCAACACTTGTGGCCCGTTGGTTGGGTGTAGCGATAGCGAGTGTGACAGTTTTAACGAAACTAGCTTCATACAATGTACAAATCAATCTCGTTGCAGAAAACAACGAATAAATTCGTAGAACAAACGAGCGATTTCGTTGTATAAACGAAATTTGATTTTCAGTGCAGAGGGGTCCCTAATAAGAGCGTAGAGGCTATAAGTACTTGTACTGAATAGACTTCAGAACACAACTGGTCTATTAATCAAATTCGTTGGCCTTTAATAGGTGGCCCTATGTTGCGCTACATTGTGCATTTGCACGGGTTCTAATGGGGAGACTTCTGGAGAGACTTATGCTGAGGTCAGCGTGACAAAATAATCAATAACTTTGTACTCAGCGATCGATTGAACTGCAGTGCACTTACCGTGGTGTGGTGCCTCGATACAGCGTATCGATCACGTAAGCATAATTAATTATGCAATGTGTAATTTGGGCATTTCGCAAATCGGTTTATTTTTGTATTTTTTTTTTTATGTGTTTAAATTTTCGGAAACGTTCTTTATGACCGACAATGCCATTTTGCACCATCATGTCGCCATTTTCAGCATCTCCATATCGTCATGGAATTTTAAAAGGGCATAAAGAAATATATCCAGCTCATCTTCAGAAAATTTTTATTTGAAAACTGTTCGTCCGATCGGTTTGGTGTCTTGGCCAATATTGCAGGTAATAGATGAGACTATTTGAAAAAATATAACACTCTAAAAACTGTACAAATTTTTTTTAATTTCAAATAAATATTTTTTTTTTATTTGTTGATATGTTTTAGGGGACAAATACTGCCATCTATTGCATTATAGTTCAAGATGGAGAAATGATGGACAAAAAAGTTCTGATTTTTTGAAAAACTCAAGTTTTAAGAAAAATATCCAAAACTTGATAATATATATAATGAAAGTACACCAAATTTACAATAAATAAGCATTCAAGTGAAATTTTGCTAAGTTGCACCGTTTTCGAGATGTAGTGGTTTGAAAGTAGATATTTTATAAATTTTGGTAGTTTTAACCATGTTTAAATGTATTTTGTGGTTCTCCAGTTCTGAAAATATTATTTTCCAAAAGATTAGAAAATTGGTAGCTCATCGATATGATCTAAATTATCCGGAATGTGTATTTTTTAAAACAATTTATTTTCTTGCAAAAACATATTTCGCTCGTTAGCATATGCAAAGAATTTATAATTGCGATTTTTCGAGAATAATTTAATTTATTTTTACATTGTTAGATTGTTATACGTTGTAATAGAAATCCATATTTTAATTCTTAGTAATATCAACAACTTTCTTTTCATTATTACAGTTTGAAAAGTGTCTGACTTCTAATTGTCTTTCAGAAATAGGAATAAATGAGTGGTATTTTTGAGTTCCTTGAATGGCTATAGCCTTTGAGTGTTGTTCGTTGAACTCGTGCTTATGAGTTTCATATTCTTCAGTAGTTGCATAACAAAAGAAAATTTGAGTCAGCTGATCCTCGTTTCGCTTCTGAGCCCAATCGTTTGCATTTTTTTATCGGATGTTCACGTTCTCTAGCTAGACTAGCTCTGGTAGCCATATGTTTCAGTGTTCCTCCAATAGCATCAAATGGACCTTTTCCATGCGATGTTGCGAAGAAATGTCATTCTACTTCTATTCCATATTTATTCTTAATTGGCAAATACTAGATTTTTTTTTCCGATTTATATACTGGGATGCATCTCTGTCAGACATGAAATAATTTTTTTTTACAGTTAACTGCTGTTCTGTACGTACAAAAGCAATCATTTTTGAGATGAATAAGTTCACAGATACAGAATCATGGCGCAAATCTTCTGAAATTACTACATAACTCAAATGATTAATTTTTCCTTCATGTTTAAAATGAATGATAAATGGATGAATAGTTGCTTGTTGATTATTCCAGTGATGACTTTGTACTTCGTCTTCTTATACAAATGTGTAGTATTCTGAAAAATCAAATATTACTACAAATTCACCTTCATGTAAATTCAGTTTAGTATTCTGCAAAAACATAGACTGCTATTGTTTTATAAAGTCATGAGGTATTAATTTCCCTAATTTTCCAATTAAATAGGAAACAAATTCATCCGGCCCTTCAACTAATGTTTCTATATAACATCTGTCGGTTGTGACCCATTGTTCAAATTAATGCCTTTTTCCACGATTTCTTCCAATAACTTTTGTTCGAAAAAAGATTAATCCAGGTTGTAGGCAGTAATCTATTGCTTTTCTTTTACATATCAAACTATCTGTAATCGACTTTACATCAATGGACAAATCAAATTTCTTTAAGTTGTGAATAATCAAATTAACATTTTCATGAATAGTACATACAAACACATTATGTGTCCCTGAACTAGTTAACAATTTACAGTTAGTTCTTAGGCCTGAGATTCGCAAAGGCTGAAAACCCAACTTTTTTTTTAAGGTTTTGTTTTTCCAGGCTCATTTGCCGTAGCTTTGCGGAGCCTATATTCATCGTTTGGGTTACAAAATTACTTAAACTTAATGTTAGTGAAGCGGGGGCCGATTACTCGCGGCTATCTCGAGGTTATGGATAACAAATTGTAACAAACGGATGACAGGGTAGGGATTGAGAACACAAGGTTTTTCGAGCAATGTGCTCTTGATCTAGAATTAAGCGACATACTGGAGGAAAAGACGAACATGGGGGTACACCGATGGGAACCTAGCAATTTGAGAGAACACAAGATGACGCTTACTACTAAATCCTCAGATCGATCCGTTTTAAAAACACATAAATTAAATTAAAATAATCGGGATCTCGGCTCGCCAAGATGTCAAAGGTTGTTTTCCTCGGGCACTGAGGGATGTGGATAACTCGGATCTAGCAACACAATGGAGGGTGCATGGCCAAAGCACGTGGTCGATATCGTGATAACGGAATTGAGCAATGAGATGTGACCCAAACTAAGGTGATAGTATAGGAGCAGTTAGATAAAGTACTCAATTTAGCTCAGATTTCGTTTAGGAAATACGAGGAGTGCTTCATCGGCCTCATTGATCGAATAGCCTCCAACGAGCTAAGGCTATCTGTAAAAATAAAATGTAATCTTCTACACCCTGTTTATCCACAAAATTCAGTGTATGGCTGAAAAATAATAAATGATTAGTTTGATTTGTATAGCTTAGGTAGTTTACCTTACCAATTGATCGAAATAATCTTCTAAATGTGTATATTTGTGCAAAGAAGGTGGTAAATTGCCACTGGTAATGCTTTAATGAACGGGAACTCCTCCGAAATACTTTTTTTTTTTTCAATTGTTCGTACAGCAACTTAACATTTTCAGCATTCAGCTTCCATGACGAAAGCGCCAAATTGCTGATCAGTCACAAATTTTTCATCATATTCCTACTAACATTCAAAATATTGGCATTTATATTTATATATTTGTAGTCAAAAAAAATTTCTTAGAAAAGCTTTAGATTTGATTAAAATCTGCTCCCGATGTTTCAAAGGTCAATGTTTGGACTACCCATGAGAAATAAATGCATCAGCTGCAGTGCATTGTGCTTAAATAAAATTAGTTTAAAGATAGAAATTCAAATAAGAAGCGTTTCATTAAAACTGCTCAAACTTCATACAAATTCAACCAACCATACCGATATAACTTGAAAAGTTGAAGTACCAGCAGCCAAGGTTTCAGAAATTTTAATGTCCATGCAAAAAAGTTACAGCTTATTGACCTTTTTTGAAGAGTTAAAAATCCGGTACTGCACATCTCTGCTTTTGCATTTCCAGGATCAAATCAGATTTAATCATTGAAACAAAAACACAACTGAAAAATTCTATGGTGAATGCTGATGGTCGTGTTGTTGAGAGTATGACACACACACATACACACAAACTGCGAGTTTATAGGAGAGTTTACAGTGCCGATCGATATAGTAGCAGATATAACTTTGTTCTCTTATGATCAATTG